GTTGGTCATGTAGGATCCAGCTGCCTTAACCTCTACACCACCTGCTGGCCCAACAGCTTTTTCTTTAGAATGTTATCTTTGTATTCTATTTAAGAAATCTCCACTGCTGCTTTACCAATTAAGTTTATGCAGTATTCTAAATCTGTTGTTACCATTTCAACAATGTTCACAGCATCACCAGAAATAGATTACGTGTTAAGAAACTAACTTTTTAACTCATCCATAAGAAACAACTCCTCATCTGTTAAAGTTTGATTTAAAAGTTTGAAAATTTATAAGAATTACCAAAATGTGGGACCAGCAGTTAGCGTAATGGCTATGTCGCTGAACTCCCATGTAGTCGACCGTGATTCGAGTCCTGGACCTGGTGGCTTAAAACTAACACTGGGCGTGTGTGTGTGCATGCCCAAGATCCCAAGAGGAGAATGGAGGAGAAGGGATTGCAGCGTGGCCATCCTCCCCCACCCCAGGGGGTGATTTCTCACTTTCTGTCTCTCTGTCTCTGTCTCCCTGGCAAGCACATGTGCCCTATAGCAAAAACCTCTCAAAAAAAATTACCAAAATGTGATATAGAAATCAGTACATTTTGGAAAAATTGCATGACAAGACTTGCTCAGTGAAGGGTTGCCACAAACCTTCAGTTTGTAAAAGACACAATGTCAATCAAAAGATGGCGTAATGGTTATATCAACTGCACTCCCACATGACTGACCATAGTTTGAGTCCTGCACTAGAAACTTGAAACTCATGCCAGGTGCGTGTGCTTGCGTGCCCAAAATCCTGAGGGGAGAATGGAGGAGAAAAGATTGTGGTGTGGCCATCCCCCAAAGTGTGTTTTCTTGCTTTCTGTCTCCCTCTTAAAAAAAAAAAAAAAAAAAAAGAGACACAGTGTCTACAAAGTACAATAAAATGAGATAAAGCCATAATGAGAAACAATACATATAAAACATTTTAAAGCTAAATATTGATAATAATTAGTGTTGGTGACAAAGTGGAGAAAATTATCCTCATATTTTGTTAGTTCTAATGAAAATTGTTAACGAGTTTGTAAGGTTCACTATAGTATTATCTATCAATTATGAAAATGAACATACTTAAAACCTCAAAACTTTATTTTCAAGGATATGTTACACAGAGATTTTAGCATGAATGTCTAAGCATTTTATTTATTCACTTTATTATTATTTTTAATTTTTAAAAAGTTTTCTATGGGTCACGTGTACTTATCAGAAAGTCAGAGAGAGAAAGGAAAAGTGATCAAGCATTCCCATAGGGGATGGCCATGCCACAATGCCTTTTCCATTCTCCTTCTGAGATTTTGAGTATGCATACACACCCAGCATGTTTTTCAAGTTTCCAGGTCTGGGTCTTGAACGGCACAGTTTCCATGTGGAATCCAACGCCTTAACCACCATGCCACCAGATGGCCCTTGGCTAAGCATTTTAAATCATCTTATAATATTCTATTTTATATAACAATTAATTTTTATATTTACATTCATATTTTAGTGGATATGTAAAAGCAAAAATATAACAACATACATTTTAAGACATTACATATATGTATATATATACCTTTTTTTTTATTTTTGAGAGGTTTTTGCCATAGGGTATGTGCACTCACCAGAAAGACAGAGAGAGACAGAGAGACAGAAAGTAAGAAATCACCCCCAAGGGGTAATGGCCATGACGCAATCCCTTCTCCTCCATTTTCCTCTCGGGATCTTGGGCACACACGCACACATGCCTGGCGTGAGTTTAAGCCACCAAGTCCAGGACTCAAACCAAGGGGGAGTCCAGCGACACAGTCATTACACCAACTACTGGTTACGACCTTACATATATTAAATGCATAGTGATTGAATGGTATCTAGCTTTCAAAAAAAAGATAGTTTTACATTTATTGTTTGGAAACATGTTTTTTTGACATTTGTAGTACAACAGCAAGAACAAAAGCATGGTGTATGCATTGTTATTCCATGTTTATAATCCATCTATCTATGTGTATCATGGCTGTTAGCCTCTTAGATCTCTCCGAAAGAAAGATGCCTGTTGGTACATAATATGCATTTATTAATAATAAATAAACTCAATTAATATAATACTGTGTAGTTTATGAGAGAGAAAGAGGGTAAGTTATTCTGTTTCTTAATATACAACAAACAATTAAATACCCCTTAATGGGACCAGTAGTTAGCGTAATGGCTATGTTGCTGGACTCCCATGTAGTTGACTGTGGTTCGAGTCCCAGACCCAGTGGTTAAACTCATGCCAGGCGCTTGTGTGTGCATGCCCAAGATCCCCAGAGAAGAATGGCAGAGAAGGGATAGCAGCATGGCCATTCCCCCTGGCACATGATTTCTCACTTTCTGTCTCTCTGCCTGTCTCTGTCTTTCTGGCGAGTGCACGCGCCCTATAGTAAAAACCTCTTCAAAATATAAATAAATAAATAAATAATTACCCCTTAACAATTTCTGTTACTTCAGAATTACTGTACAGGTAGGTTACTTATCAAACGGAGGTATTCCTATCAGATTTCATCTCCCCTCTATTTACATTGCAGAATAATCTTTAATATGTGACAGTCTATTCCTCAAAACTTAAGTTTAATACTGCCTAGTAGTGAACTTATTCAAGGTTTTTTTTTTTTTTCAACAAACCTTGTCTTTCTCTCAGGAATTTTTTTTTTTTTAGAGGTATTTTTTTTCACTATAGGGTGCGTGCGCTTGCCAGACAGACAGAGAGAGACATAGAGACAGAAAGCGAGAAATCCCCCCCAGGGGGGATGGTCACGCCGCAATCCCTTCTCCTCCATTCTCCTCTCGGGATCTTGGGCACGCATGCACACGTGCCCAGCGTGAGTTTTAAGCCACCGGGTCTGGGACGTGAACTGCGGTCGACTACATGGGAGTCCAGCGACATAGCCATTACGCTAACTGCTGGTTCCCTCTCTCAGGAATTTTTGTCTTAGCTACTTGGAAGGAAAACTTTTTTCATGTAATATATTCATATTAGTTTTCTTTGTATAGATTTATCTTGATATAATTAAAAAGTTCATAATTATATACCTTGAACTATTAATGGTAATTAAGAAGGCAAAATGGGTAGATAGGATAGAGACTATAGAACTGGAGGAAGCGAGAACTTTATATTTTTCTCTGTTAAAAGATTTGTATTACTTTTTTTAAATTATTGCCAGAAGGTGCATGTGCTCACTAGAGAAAGAGGCAGACACACCCATACAGAGAAAGAGCACTCCTAAAGGGTGTGTTCACACTGCAAATTTTTTTCTTCTGTTTCTTTATTCCATTGGAATTTGGGGCATGCATGTACATTTGCTTGGTATGCTTTTTAAGTGGCAGGACTGGGATTTGAACTATGGTAGGGGATGTGGGATCTGGCTTCTTATGTACAGAGCTTAACCACTTTACTACCCAGCCAGCTTCCCGCCTTAAAAAAATACACAAATTTTAGGAGCCAGCAGGTGATGTAGCAGTTGGGGAGCTGAACTTCCACATGACCAACCATGATTCAAGTCCTAGACCCAGGGACTTGAAGCTCATGCCAGGTGTGTGAGTGCCCAAAGTCCTGAGAGAAGAATGGAGAATAATGGATGGGAGCCTAACTATCCCCCCAGGGGGTGATTTCTCGCTGTTTCTCTCTCTGTCCCTCTTTGTCTCTCTGGTGAGTGCATACGCCCTATAGCAAAAATCTCTCTCTCAAAAAAACAAAACAAAACAAAACACACAAATTTTACATAAAAACTTTGAAATAGTTCTTTCATGACATTATCTCATTATTCCAAAAGTGTATTATCTACGAACATCCTGCATTTTTTCCTGTAAATCTGTGAGACCAGTCAAGGACAAGGAGTTTGGTTTTCCCTCGTGCAAAGACATGTTAACTAGATATATTTTTTGCAGGAAATTTTATAAATGGTTCTTAAATTAAGACATGGTTTGGATATAGGTGTCAAAGGGGTTTTGCATGAATGAGGCAGATTTATTGTTAATTAAAGAAAACAGGACAGTTTTATATTCAGTAAGACAGGGCTTTCTTGTCTCTTTTATTCAGTGTTTAAATTATTCTTAGTGAGATTTTGAAGAACAATAGTAGAGGGACCAGCAGTTAGTGTAATGGCTATGTCACTGGACTCCCATGTAGTCTACCACGGTTCGTGTCCTGGACCTGGTGGCTTTAAACTCAGCTGGACGTGTGTGTGTGTGCGTGCCCATGATCCCGAGAGGAGAATGGAAGAGAAGGGACTGAGGCATGGCCATCCCCGGGGGGTGATTTCTTGCTTTCTGTCTCTCTCTGTCTGTCTGGCGAGTGCACGCGCCCTGTAGCAAAAACCTCTCCAAAAAAACAAATAAATAAAAATTAAAATAAAATAAAAGTATATGACAGAAGACATACCCACAACAAGTGTGCTGCTAGATAAGCAAAACATGACATGTACAAAGAAAATGTTAAATAACATGAAAGCATAGCAATAATTTCTAAAGAGTAATTATATTTTTTCTATTCTTCATGTCGAAAGAGTGGTATAGAAGAATATAATGTAAGTTTAGGAGTTGAGAAGAAAAAAGAGGCACTTGTAAATAAAGCCAAGTCTTAAAATATGGGTAAAATTTCATTAAAAAAAAAAAGATGAAGACGAACATTGTTAAAAAAAGAAGTATAAAAGTGCAGTGTGGGGGTAAGGTGAGGAAACACACAGCAGAGGATGACACACTCCCTTATTCTGTATCCTCTTCTTGAGATTTCGAGTGCACATATGAAGTACCCAGTGTGATTTTCAAGCCACCAGGTCCAGGGCTTGAATTGCAGTCAGCCATGTGGAAATCTAGCACCATAATCACCATGCCATCTTCTGGCCCGGTTGCTAGCTTCTCTTTAAGTTTGTTTAGTTTTTACATCTAGAGCAGTGAGTTATATTAGCATTGAGGGTAGTACTTCAGATATTGTAATACAACATTTTTCATTTTTTTTAATTATAGAAACTACTTATTCACTGGCTAACCGATTAAATACTATGTTCCAAATATTTGAAAACCAGTCAAATGTGTTGGAGAGGTAAGCCTTTATAATACATTTTTTAAATTATAAAAATGAGTACATATCACTGTAGAAATACTGGAAATATAGAGCCTGTTTCAAAAAAAATGAAATTTATTACATCAATGCTCATTTCCTTGAGGTTGGAAAATATACTTATTATGATTTAAATATTCTTAAATTTGTTAAGACTTGTGGTGTAACACATGTTATATCATGGGAGATGGGGAATATTTTATGTGTACTTGAGAAGAATGTGCATTCTATTGCCGGTCAATTAAATGTTCTATAGATGTTTATTAGGGCCATTTGGTCTCAATGTATTTAAGACCAATGTTTTTTTATTGGTTCCTTGTCTAGATGATGTGTCCATTTTTAAAAGTAGGGAAGACCACTATTTTTATTGTTTTGCTGTTTATCCCTCCTTTCAGATCTACTCATATAGTATATATTAGTTGTTTAAACTTGAGTGCATATTTATTCACAGCTGCTAATTTTCTTGATGAGTTGACCTCATTATCATTATATAATGACCTTCTTTGTTTCATGGGACAGTTAATGTTCTCTTTTGTCTAAGTGTAGCTACCCCTGCTCCCTTTTAGTTTCCATTTGCATAAACTATTTTTTCCCATCCTTGTACTTTCAGACTTTGTCCTTAAGGCTCAGGTGGTACCTCTGGTTGGTGGCTAGGTATCTTTTTATCTATTCAACAACTCTATGTCTCTTGACTGGAAAATTTAGTTATTAACATTTATTTACATTTAAATGTACACTTAAAGTAATTATCAATAGCTAAGTATTTACTATTGCCATTTTGAAGCACAATAAACATTTAGTCATCTCCACATTTGTATAAATACCATTAGACAAAATTTATCATCCTTTCCTCATAGAAATTTTCAAAAATTAAGTATAAAAGGAAAGTTCTCCACATAGTAAATGCCATATTACCACCCCTTAACTAACAGTTTACACAGTGGTGAAAAGCTGAGAGCTTTTCTTCTAAGCTCAGGAACAGATGAGGATTCCTACATACAGCACTTTTATTTAGAATAATACCAGAAGTCCAAGCAAGAACAATTAGTCAAGAAAAATTAATTAAAGGCATATAAATTACAAATGAAGAATTGTGTTTGCTTACAGACTATATGATCTCATTAATAGAAAACAATAAAGGTGCCCTCAAAACATGTTAGAGTTACAAAATAAATTTAAAAAGTTACAGGATACAAAACCAATATACAGAAACCAGTTGTATTTCTATTAATTAATAATGACTACCTTAATTTTTAGATGAATTAAATTCATTAGCAAATCAATAAAATGGGGGGGGGAGGCATAGAAAGCAACCATGGATACCAGAGACAATGTGGGAGGAGGGTGAGATATGGCAGAGGGTGAGAGATAGGGAATCAAGGATGGGAAAAAATGTAAAATATACAGGAAACAAGAAATGGAAGATTATTTGTTGATGATAAAACATATGTTGATTTGCTTGATTGAACCAATATACAGTGTATTCTGGATGGAAAATGATGTATAGAGAATGAATGTAAATAAATACATTTAAATTAAAAAGTTTAAAAAAATTAATGACTACCTTAAAGAGAAATTAAGAACTTAAATTCATTTACAGTATTATAAAAAGAAAAAAGTACTTAAGAATTAATTTAAGCATAAAAGTCAGAGATTTATACACTGAAAACTGTAAAACACTGATGAAAGAAATTTAAGAAGACACAAAGTAATGGAAAGGTATCCTATAATCATGAATTTAAAAAATCAATATTGTTAAAATGTTTATTTACCAGAAGAAATGTACAGAGTCAATGTAATTCTTATGAAAATCCCAATGGCATTTTTGCAGAATAGAAAAAAATTCTAAAATTCATATGTAACCACAGGAGGCCCTGAATAGCCAAGATAATCTTCAGCAAGAGTAGCAAAGATGGAGGCATCACATCCATTTCAAATTATGTTTTAAAGTCATGATAATCAAAACAGTTTGGTATTAGGAGAAAACCAGATATATAGGCCAGGGGAACAAAACAGAGAGCTCAGAAATAAGCTCATGTGTTTGTAGTCAACCTGCCCTTTTTTGTTTTGTTTTGTTTTTAAGAGAGATTTTTCCTGTAGGGCCCATGTGCTCACTGGAGGGACAGACAGAAAGCAAGAAATCATCCCCCAGAAGGGATGGCCATGCTGCAGTCCCTTATCCATTCTCCTCTTGGGATTTTGGGCATGCACACACTCATGCCCAGCATGACTTTCAAGCTTCCAAGTCCAGGACTTTAACCCTGGTTGACTATAGGGGAGTACAACAATGTAACCATTATGCCATCGGCTGGTCCCTCAATCCTGCTTAAAAGTGTGTCATGCATACACAATAGGGAAAGCATAGTCTTTTCAATAAACAATACTGGGAAAATATAGAAAAAAATAAAATTAGACCTTTATCTTTCATCATACACAAAAATCAACTCAAAATGTATTTGAACTTAATTGTACAACCTAAAATTGTAACATTTCTTATTTTATTTATTTATTTTTTTGGAGAGATTTTCACTGTAGGGCGCGTGCGCTCGCCAGACAGACAGAGAGAGACATAGAGACAGAAAGCAAGAAATCACCCCCCGGGGGGATGGTCACGCCGCAATCCCTTCTCCTCCATTCTCCTCTCGGGATCTTGGGCACGCACGCACACGCGCCCGGCGTGAGTTTTAAGCCACCGGGTCTGGGACACGAACCACGGTCGACTACGTGGGAGTCCAGCGACATAGCCATTACGCTAACTGCTGGTTCCCTAAATTGTAACATTTCTGAACAAAAACATAAAATAAAATTTTATGGCATTGGTCTGGGAAATGACTCTTTGGATATAACACCAAAAGCATAGACAATGAAAGCAAATATAAACAAGTGGGATTACATAAAATTTGAAAGTTCTGCACAGCAGTTAACAATAAACATGATGAAATGGCAGACTATGGACTAGGAGAAAATATTCACAAAGCATTACATCTGAGAAGAGGTTAATATAAAAAATATAGAAAGAATATAAAAATGAATATTTAAAAAGAAACATAATTTGATTGAAAATGGGAAAGGAATTCAAATAGGTAATTCACCGAAGAGGACATACAATAGGTGTAGAGAAAGGTGATCTGTGTCATTAATCATCAGAGAAATGTAAATTGAAACCATTATGAGATAACAACTCACATTTGTTGGGATGTCTATACAAAAGTAAAAAGTAAAGGTAGCAGGTGTTGGCAAAGATGTAGAGAAAGGGAACCCTTTACACTGTTGGTAGGAATGTAAATAGATAGTCCTTACCAAATCAATGTGGAGTTACCTAAAATATTTAAAAGGAACTACTGGGACCAGCAGTTAGCGTAATGGCTATGTCGCTGGACTCCCATGTAGTCGACCGCGGTTCGCGTCCCAGACCCGGTGGCTTAAAACTCATGCCAGGCACTTGTGCATGCGTGCCCAAGATCCCGAGAGGAAAATGGAAGAGAAGGGATTGCAGCATGGCCATCCCCCTAGGGGGTGATTTCTCGCTTTCTGTCCCTCTGTCTCTCTCTGTCTGTCTGGCGAGCGCACTTGCCCTATAGCAAAAACCTCTCCCCCCCAAAAAAATAAAAGGAACTACCATATGATCTATAAATTCCATTTCTAGATATGGAAAGAAACTGAAATCTGTAGGCCAAAGATAGATCTGCATTTCTATGTTCATTGCAGCATTGTTTATGATAGCCAAGGTATGGGAACAATCTAAATGTCTATCAATAAGTGAATGGATAAATAATTGTCCTGTATATTCATTAGAATAGCATTTAGAAGACACATATGCTGAAGGAGCCATATAAAAGGAAATAGCATCATTATGATAATAGAGAAACTAGAAACAATTTCAATATTTATTAGTAGGAATAATAATCTATGGTTAGGAAAATGATAAGGGAATAATGTGAACAACTCTATGTCAACAGATTAGATAATTTAGATGATATTTATTTGTTAGATTCAAAGTATCCTGATTCAAGAAGAAACAGAATTTAGATCTATAAGAAGTAAAAAGATTTAATTAGTAATGAACATATTTCCCACCAAAACTCTTATATTATGGCTTTGCTGATGAATATTATCAAATATTTAAAGAAGAATTAATACCAGCTCTTCACAAATGCTTCTGAAAATTAGAAGAGGATTTCATACTTCTCAACTTGTTAGACAAAATTAGTATACCAAAAGCAGGCGACAATATCACAGGAAAATAAACCTACAGGCCAATATATTTGTAAATATGAACACAAAAATCTTAAAATACTAGCAAATTGAATACTGAAACATATAAAAAACACCATGCACTATAAACATGTGGGATTTATCTCAGGAATACAAGATTGGTTTAAATAGGAGTATCAATTAATGTAATGTACACTATTGAGTGAATAAAGCAGGAAAAACCCCATAGGATTAGCTCACTGTACACAGTAAAAGAATTTGATAAAATCCAACATCCTTTTATGATAAGAATACTCCATGTACTCTGAACAGAAATAATTAAATTGCATCCTTTTTTCATGTCAGGCACTAAAATTAAGATTATTAAAGACTTAAATTAAAGTACTAAAACTAAAAACCTTTTCAAAGAAACATAGGAATAAATTTTAGTTACCTTGGGTTAGGCAATGGCTTCTTAGATATGACACCAAAAGCACAATCAACAACAACAACAAAAGATTGAACATTATCAGAATCAAAAACTTTTGTGCTGTGCTGCAAATGATACCATCCAGAGTATGAAAAGATAACTCCTGGAATGTGAAAAGTATTCAGAAGCCATATATCTGATAAGGGACTTATATCCATAATATACCTCACTAATAAAAAAAAGTCAATTAAAAATGGGCAAAGGATCTCAATAGACATTTTCTAAACAAGATATACCAATGGTCAATAAACACATGGAAAGATACCTAACGTTAGTCATTAAGCAATTGCAAATAAAAACTACAATGATATACTACTTCACACTCACAAGGATGGCTATAATTAAAAGACAGATAATAATAATTATTGGAAAGAATGCAGAGAAATTGGAACGCTCATGCAATCTTGGTGGGAATTGAAATGGTGCATTTGTTTTGAAAACCAGTTTGATAGTTCTTCAAAATGTCATAGAGTTAAATATGACCAAGAAATTCTATCCCTAGGTTTATACTTGAGGGAAATAAAAGCATATTTTTATACAAAATATTGTACAGGAATGTTCATAGTAGCATTATTCAGAATAGCCAAAAAGTAGAAACAACCCAAATGTCTATAAACAGATAAATGGATAAATAAAATGTGGTATATCCATATAGTGGAATGGTATTTTGCAATAAAAAGGAACAGAGTATTAATACATTCTGGAGTGGGTATAAACTTTGAAAACATTATGCTAAGTATAAGAAGCCAGTCTCAAAAGATCACATACTTGTGATTCTATTTACATGAAATATTCAGAATAGGCAAGTCTATAGAGACGAGATTAATTGCTGGCTTAAAGGATTTGGCAGTCCAAAGAAGAATGGGGAGTGACAGCTAATGGGCAGGGCGTTTCTTTTTGGGTTTAAAATTAGTGGTATTATGTATGTTCTAAAATTAATGGTGGTGGTTGCTTAACTTGGTGAATATGTTAAAAGCCATTAAACTGACACAAAAATGAGTGAATGGTATATTAGTTTATCATAATAAACCTATTATAAATTTTATTTAATAAACAAACAACTAATTTGTCAAAAAGGAGTATAGCTTATTCATTGTATGGAACAGATGTCCACAAACTGTGGCCCATGAGTCAAATCTGACCTGTGGCTTGCTTTTGTAAATGAAATTTAATTGAAATAAAGCCACAGTCATTCATTGATCTTTCATCTACTGCTGCTTTTGCAGAGTTGAGTAATAGTGACAGGACATCAGCATGGACTTGCAGAAACTAAACTATTTATTGCCTGACTTTTTATCAGAAGGTTAGCTAACCCCTTCTATGGAAAAATTAGCATCTAAGAGGAACAAGAAGGATCTGTGTTTACTGATACAAATAGATCTGTCATTATCTAAGTGAAAAAAGTTGAGAACAATATGTACTATGAGGTCATGTCATTTATGTGGAAAAAAATGGAATCTAACCCACTAACAAAAATTATGCAATCAAATAGGTACATGTATTACATACAACAAGTGCACAGAACAAGTTCTGGAAAGATAACAGTAGTCCAGTCATATCTCTGTGGAGAGAATTGGATTTTTGAGTAGTCAAAGTGTACTCAGGTTTTTATTTGTATTATTTTAAACTCCTTACCCCCAAGAAAGTGTGTTACATAAATAAAAACATAAATGTAGAATTATAATTCTTATTTGTTTTTCAGAACGATAGATGATCAAGATTTGTTAGAGTCTGTAAGTATAGCATTCCCAGTTCAAAATTATGCTTTACTTTTTGAGGTCATGACTCCAGAAATTGTTGAGATACATAATCCTAAATAAAGATACAATGCTAACTCAATGCATATATGATAAGACTTTATTATTGTTCAGAAGCACTTCACTTCTGAAATATAAAACTATAACACCTATGATCTTCTAAACAGTTCTGCTCATTTCCACTTTTTTTTTTTTTAGTTTGCTATAGGGCTTGAGTACATGTGAGAGAGAGAGAAAAAAAGAGAGAGGAAGGAAAAGTGGGAATCAGCAGATGGCATAGTGATTACATTATTGGACTCCCACGCATTTGACTGTGGTTTGAGTCCCAGACCAGTGGCTTGAAACTCACGCTGGGCACGTGTGCATGTGTGCCCAAAATCCTGAGAGAAGGGATTGAGGTGTGGCCATCTTTCCAGGGGTTGATTTCTCACTTTTTATCTCTTTGGCTCTCCAGTGAGCATGCACACCCTGTAGCAAAAATCTCTCTTTAGGGGCAGGTGGCGTAGGTGGTTAAAGACACTGGTTTCCCACAGGGCCAATCACGGTTCGAGTCCTGGACCTGGCAACTTCCTTTCTCGCTTTCCCTTTCTCTCTCTGTCTCTTTCTAGTCAAATTAAGAAATAATAATAACAAATGGAATTAAATAAATAATTCTGTAAAAAAAAACCCTCTCTCTAAAAATAAAAAAAAGGAAAGTGAGATATTACCCCCCATGGGGGATGAACACGTTACAATCACTTTTCCTCCATTTCTCTTTTAGGATTTTGGGCATGCACATGTGCCTGGCATGTTTCAAGCCACTGGGTCTGGGACTTGAACAGCGGTCAGTCATGTGGGAGTCCAATGCCTTAACCACTATGTCACCTGCTGATCCTTCATTTCCACTTTTAGTTCTTTATCTCTTTCAGCCTCAAATGTTTCATTATTGTCATGAGTTAGTGAAAACTTTCTTTCCTTAATAATTAAATATCTAATAATCTTTCTGTATTTTAATATTAACTCTTCATTATTACTAAAAGTATAATATCATTTTTATAGAAATATAAGGAGATGCAAAGTGATCTTGAATTGTTGTCAGAGGAGAAATTGGAGTTGGAAAATGAACTACAAAAGTTGAAGAGTACAGAGGTTGGTAACATTTTATCATAGTGTCTGAAATGGCACACAGTACCTAATAGGACTTACTTTAGGATAGGAATCCAGAAAAGATTGAAATGCTTTGTAATATATTTTCAATATTAATAATTTATAGTAGCTATGCTTAAACAATGAAATTATATGTTCTAAATCTCTGTATTAGCTATTAAAAGGAAAAGGATCCTATGAATAATAGATAAAAGACATTCAAACACTTTTAAAAAGACGTTTCAAGCCAAATATTTAACGTTATTAAATTATTAATAAATTGAGTTTTCCAATATATTTTAAGTGCATTTTTATGGTATTCTCTGCAATTATGTAGTATGTGTGTCCCAGTTTACTACCCAAATAGAGTGAATAGAAATGTCAAGGATAAAGAAATATGTATTTCTTGGGACCAGCAGTTGGCATAATGGCTATATCGCTGGACTCCCATGTAGTCGACTGCCTTTCAAGTCTCGAACCCTGTGGCTTAGACTCATGCCAGGCGTGTGTGCGTGCGTGCCCAAGATCCTGAGAGGAGAATGGAGGAGAAGGGATTGCGGCGTGGCTTTCTCACTTTCTATCTCTCTCTATTTTTCTGGTGTGCATGCACCTATGGAAAACAACAACAATAACAACAACAAAGAAATATGTATTTCCTTTTGCATTTTTTTTCTTTTTCCTCATCTTTTTTGTTTTTAAGACAAAAAAGATCTTGCTATATATCATAGTCCTCCTTATACAGCTTCTGTAGTAGCTGGGATTATAGGCTTGTGCCATGTGGCCTGGCCTTTTTCAGGACCAGGGCTTCTCATGTGGCCTCAGGCTACTAAGTAGCAGCATTCTGAGCATGCACTACCATGGCTGAGGCTCTTCTCTTCCTTTTTTTTTTTTTTTTTTTCCATTTGCAGAGGATGAGTGCATTTTCCAGAGAGAGATTGAAGATGAGAAAGCAAGAAAGCACTTCCTTGCCCCATGGGACATGGTCATGTTGCAATGCCTTCTCCTCCATTCCTTTTAGGATTTTAGGCACACATGTACAGCAACCAATTTTCTTCCAAAATAGGTTTGCTTTTCTAATGTAATGATCTCTTTCTATGATTTTAATTTTTTTATAGACAGCCAAGCTTAATAATCAAAAGTTGCATTTGATTCCTATTTTGTCTGCCAAACATTAGTCCACTTGAAATTGTCCCATAGCTTAGCTCAGTGTTAATCTATTCATTCATTTCATCTTTTTCCTCTCATTATTTTAGTGTTTGTCAATTGCATATATGTTGATTGCATATATATGTTTGTTGATTTCCTATTTTCTCAATAGGAAACAAATTAGAAAGTTCATATTTAAGCTAGAAATTATTTTGGAATGTTAACACTTTTTATTAAAATTCATTATTGTGGGCTGGCCCTGTGGTCTACTGGTTAAAGAAACTGGATCCTGTATGGCAAACTACAGTTTGAATCCCAGCCCCAGCAGCTTGAAAAATGCACTGGGCACTGGCATGTGCATGTGCGTGCTCCAAACCCCGACAGCATAGAGAAATGGGGAAGGGTTGTGACATAGCAGCGCTCCACTGGGAGGTGCTTTTGTTCTCTTTTTCTTTCAACTGTCTCTGGTGAGTGTGTGCATCCTGTTGCAATTAAAAAATTTGTTATTATATTTATTTACCATATTTTGTGATGAAGAATTATTATACTTCATGTTTAACCTATGAGAAGTTTGCCACAATAGTGAATTTGGTATTTATTGGAAGTTGTAGTCTAAAACAAGAAGTAACCACTGAATGCCTTATTAGATTTCAATTATTAAGCTCATCTAAAATTTTCAGTAATCTATTTGTTAAATTTTTCTCTACTTTATTATATAAAGTAATATGATGCTAAATAGTAGTTTAAGAATACTTTAAAATTTTTGGTCACTTCTGTTGTAATATTTGTTTTGAAACACAAATTTGTTGCAATAATACAGTTGAATAATTTAAACATAGTTTGAATTTTGCATGCACATATGCACAATTTTATCTACAAAAAACATTAGATGAGAGCAGGTAGTGCTTTTACCAACCACCTTGGTTCACCATGTGAATAATATAACCACATATATCTGACATTAACAACTTTTTATTCAACTTCAGATAATCCTTCTTCCATTGCATGTTAACGTGCAATTTGGCAGCCAATTCGGTGCTCACTTCTACAAACATCCTTTCAGGTCTTTTTCAAGATAAAGAACTGTATTTCTCATGGTACTTATGTACTCTTAATCATTTAACCGTGTAAAGCTGTTTTATTTTTTAGCTGTTTTAATTAGGTTTTTATTTGTTAAATGTATTATAGACAATATTTTTGCCTTATGTGCACCTAACCTATTTTCCCTATATATCTGCAGATTCTATTGTATGTTTTTGCACAGTGAGGTGATTTTGTGGAAAGTGTAGATCACATTGTAGCAAAACTAACTGTAATTTATCAGAGGAATTTAGATGTTTAATACATATCAGCTTATATACAACTTATATTCAGAAATGCACAATTTCAAACAGTTCAACTGTATCATTAATTTTGTTTTGCATCTATTCAGATATTTTCCTTGAAAGAGTATATGGGTCTTGGAGTAAAATGGAACTTTTAGTAATGTACATTATCATGTATTATCTTTTAATTTATTGTGCCCTTAACAATTTGTTTTTGGCCTAAGATTACACAGAAAACAAAACCTGATCGAACAAAGAAATCTGTAAAAACAGGGAAGAAAAAGGAGAAAGGAAAATCTGAAAACTTAGAACAGTAAGACTTTTATAAAGATATATGTTAATTTTTATCTTCTTTGTTACTTTATATTTTCATTTTATATAAACAATTTTAGAAAAGATTATATAACATCTTAACAGGTTTTTTTTTTTTTTTGAGAGGTTTTCACTATAGGGCACGTGCGCTTGCCAGATAGACAGAGAGAGACATAGAGATAGAAAGTGAGAAATCACCCACCAGGGGGGATGGTCATGCCGCAATCCCTTCTCCTCCATTCTCCTCTCAGGATCTTGGGCACGCATGCACACGCGCCCGGTGTGAATTTTAAGCCACCGGGTCTGGGACGCGAACCCCGGTCGACTACGTGGGAGTCCAGCAACATAGCCATTACGCTAACTGCTGGTTCCCAACAGGTTTTTAAAACATAAGATTGAGCCAGCAAGTGGTGTAATGGTTAAGGCACTAGATTACCACATGGCCAACTGCAGTTTGAGTTCTAGATCCAACGGCTTGAAAATCATTCTGGACAGGTGTGTGTGCATGCCAAAATCCCAAGAGGAGAGTGGAGAAGAAGGAATTGTGTCATGGCCACCCCCCTTGGGGGGATTTCTTACTTTGCCTTTCTCTATCTGTCTCTGGCGAGTGAACGTGCCCTATGACAAAAACCTAAAAACACAATAAAATAAAATCAATAAATAGTTTCCCAAGAAGACCAGGATATGATTTTGGCAAAAAGCTGAAAAGGAAAGAACCAAGGACCAAAAGTGGATTATAGGAGGGGAATGAACCACAAACTATTCAGCAATAGGTAAACAGAGTCAAATCTTTATTTAGAGGTTTTTGCCATAGGAGCACCAGAGACAAAGAGAGACAGACAGAGATAGCAAGAGGGAAAGTAAGAAATCGCCCCTGGGTGGATGGCCGTACCGCAATCCCTTCTCTTCCATTCTCCTCATAGGATCTCTGGCTTGCATGCATACATGTCCGGCTTGATTTTCAAGCCTCTGGGTCTGGAACTTGAACTGCAGTAGGCCATATGGGAGTCGAGTGATATAACTGCTATACCATCTGCTGGCCTGAGAATCAAATTTTAAAATAGTTATAGGAAAAAAGGATTGAACATGGTTTTCTTAGTTGTCTAGTTAATGCTTTGTAATCTGTTAACTCCCAACCTTTGCTGTTCTTTTCTACTGTATTTCTTTTTAAAGAATTATTTATTGATTATGATTATGATTATTTTTCATTTTACCAGAGAGAGAGAGAGAAAGTGAGAAAGTAAGCCACCAGGTGTGGAATTCAAACTGTAGTCAGCCATGTGGGAACCCAGGGCCTTAACCACTATGCCACCTGCTGGACCCTCTACAATATTTCTTTTTTTTTTTTTTTTTTTGGGGGGGTTTGCTATAGGGTGCGTGCACTTGCCAGAAAGACAGAGAGAGAGACAGAGAGCTAGAAAGAGAGAAATCACCACCCAGGGAGGATAGCCACGCTGCAATCCCTTCTCCTCCATTCTCCTCTCAGGATCTTGGGCATGCACGCACACATACCTGGCATGAGTTTAAGCCACTGGGTCCGGGACTTGAACCATGGTCAACTACATGGGAGTCCAGTGACATAGCCATTATGCTAACTGCTGGTCCCTACAATATTTCTTAATTGTACTTATTTTTTATTAAATTTTCTAGGAGATATTTTTACTACAAGGCATGTGCACTTACCAGAGACACAGAGACTGAGAGACAGAAAACAAGAAATCACCCCCCTAGGGGATGGCCACACTGCAGTTCCTTCTCCATTTTCCTCTTGGGATTTTGGGCATGTACACACATGCCTGGTATGAGTTGTAAGCTGCTGGGCCCAGGACTCAAACTGGGGTTGACTATATGGGAGTCTAGCGATGTAATCATTATGACAATTGGTCCCAATTGTACTTAGTTTTTTAATAAAAACATTTGTCTAATTTTCATGTATGTGTGTTATGATTAAGTGACTTTATTAACTAATTGAATATGTTCTTTAGTATTATGAAATAATTATTGCATTTTGAATTTGCTTGTCAAACCCTAATATAAAAGGACGTAGTTAAAAAATGCTATAAATTCAGTCTTTATAGAGTTCCACAATTCTGAGAAGAAATTCATTGGACAAATGGCTTTGATCTTTCACTTGAAGCAAAAATTATTAGAGAAGAAAAAAATACTCATTTCCTCTGAAAATCTAAGTCTTTCCACATTTTAACTATACCAATTAGAAATTAGCTTGAAAAATGTTATTAGTTTGCTTATCATTTAACTTGTGTGGACTTTTATGACTTTTAAAATGTGAATTAAAGGGACCAACAGTTAGCATAATGGCTATGTCACTGGACTCCCATGTAGTCGACCATGGTTCGAGTCCTGGACTTGGTGGCTTAAATTCATGCTGGGTGTGTGTGCGTGCATGCCCAAGATCCCAAGAGGAGAATGTAGGAGAAGGGATTGTGGCATGGGTGGTGAATTTGCTTGTCAAACCCTAATATAAAAGGACGTAGTTAAAAAATGCTATAAATTCAGTCTTTATAGAGTTCCACAATTCTGAGAAGAAATTCATTGGACAAATGGCTTTGATCTTTCACTTGAAGCAAAAATTATTAGAGAAGAAAAAAATACTCATTTCCTCTGAAAATCTAAGTCTTTCCACATTTTAACTATACCAATTAGAAATTAGCTTGAAAAATGTTATTAGTTTGCTTATCATTTAACTTGTGTGGACTTTTATGACTTTTAAAATGTGAATTAAAGGGACCAACAGTTAGCATAATGGCTATGTCACTGGACTCCCATGTAGTCGACCATGGTTCGAGTCCTGGACTTGGTGGCTTAAATTCATGCTGGGTGTGTGTGCGTGCATGCCCAAGATCCCAAGAGGAGAATGTAGGAGAAGGGATTGTGGCATGGGTGGGGGGTGATTTCTTGCTTTCTGTGACTCTGTCTCTCTCTGTCTTTCTGGCAAGCGTACGCACCCTATAGCAAAAACCTGTCAAAAAAAAGGGGGGGGGGGCGATTAAAAACAAAGTCATCGCTTTAAAATAGTTTAAAGTCTTCCTCAAGAAAACGAAGCAGTGATACATTTTAAATTTAATTACAGGAAGATGTCTGCAGCCAAACTGCTTAAAATGCAGGAAGATTTGCTTCAAGCACAGGTAACACATTCTCTCTATGCATCTTTGACTAATAAATGATATTATTGATAATTTTATCTTTGATAATTAGTATGCTTAAATAGCATTAGGAAGTATGTACAGATAGGTATATATAAATTTGTCCTTAGAGATGTCTTTTATGTCAGTTGACTTCTCTCAGAAAGTTTCAGAAAGCAATTTGGTTAATCCATATTTATAGTTAAGATTATGAAAATTACCAGTTTACTCAGCTATAGGAAATATCACAGGGGAAATATTATAATATTGGGAGTCAGAACAGGGACTTAGTAGTTATGAGACCTGGGTTAAGCCCTTTTAACTTATCTGAATGTTTTATTTTCCATCACCATAATAGGAAAAACAATCGGACTCCATCTATCTGAAAAAGGTATAAGAGTTGTAAGGACCAAATGTGAAAAAATTCTTCAGTAATTGTAAACTATATAGTTTACATATGAAGGAATATAAGTAATCTGTCCTTTCATTTGGCTTTAGAACACATTTTTTTCTTGTGCTACAAGTTAATTTCTTAATACTCATCATAACATCAAACCAACCATTTTACTGAGTGATTGGTGTTAAGTGTCCCACAAGTACATATGCATCTGAATGAGTCAAGAACTAGACAACATAAATTTGGGGAAACAATGAGAGTGGTGCTTAAGATACTGAAGATGTATAATTTTATGGTTTTAGTTTTCTATTGCTGAGTAAGAAGTTACTATAAATTTAACAGCTTAAAACAACTTATCTTATAGTTTCAGTGGGTATGGAGTCTGAGCATGGCTCAGCTGTGTTCTGTGTTCAAGGTCTCACCAGGCTACAATCAAGGTGATGGCTAGGCCCTATTCCATTCTGTAACTTGCTAGTTATTTTCTACGTGGGGATTCATATCCCGAGTGGATATGACAAACTTATTCTTTGTATTGTAGAACAAAGTGCTCTTCTTCTACAGGCACTATGAAGTTTCCTGCCAGTGGCCTTTCCCACAGGCAGTGCAGTTTGCTTCTTCTATAAAGCCATCCAAGAATGTGGTCTGCTAAGACAGTCTTATATAATGTCACTTCATCCTGGGAGTGATATCCTGTCACTCTTACTAGACAATATAACCTAATAAATGTGGCAGGCCAACTGCAGTGGTTTGGGAAATTTTTAATCATTATTTTTCAATTAACTTTTGTACCTTCCTTTCTCTTTTCCTAGTGAACTAAAATTACATGTTAGATATCTGATGTTCAACATGTTCCTTAATATTTGTTAATTTTAAAAAAAACTTTGTTTTTTGTATTTATAGTGGATACTTTCTTTTAAAAAATATGTATGTATGTATGTATTTATATTTACTTGCCCAGAGGGACACACACACACACACACACACACACACACACACAGAGAGAGAGAGAGAGAGAGAGAAAGTGAAAAAGCAAGCTTCCAGGTTCGGGACTCAATCCATGGTCAGCCATGTTGTTTTTTGTATTTATAGTGGATACTTTCTTTTAAAAAATATGTATGTATGTATGTATTTATATTTACGCCCAGAGGGACACACACACACACACACACACACACACACACACACAGAGAGAGAGAGAGAGAGAGAGAAAGTGAAAAAGCAAGCTTCCAGGTTCGGGACTCAATCCATGGTCAGCCATGTGAGAGTACAGTGCCTTAACTACTATGCCACCAGCTGGCTCCAAGATTGGATATTTTCTATTGGTATATCCTCAAGTGATTTGACTAATTCTGAATTATATCCTAGATTTTTGTGAGTATTGTATGTTGAACTTACAGAGTCTGTTATATTCTGATCATTGGTATCTTTCCCCCCTTTAATGTGTAATCAACATAATTGGATTCAAAGAGAAAAATTTGTATGAAGATAGCAGCTCAAGTTGCACTTCAATTTGTTTTTTTGTTTTTAGTTTTCACTAAGCTGTTCAGACTTTTCTACACATATGTGGTTTGGGGGTCAGGAAGAGCTTTGGAAGGTTGTATAAAAAGAATGTGGGACTCCCTGTCTCTGTCTTTTCTGTGTGACTTCTCCCTCACTTTTCCAGTGATTGTTGTCTTGCATCTGTCTTATGGTATGTAGGTTATAAAAACTCAGATTTTCTATCAGTTATTAGGTGCTTCAGATGGCTCAGATAAGGTTTGTCCTCAAACCAAATGCCATAAAAATGAGAATCTTACCTAGAACTTTTCACTTCTTCCAACTGTCACTTTTCCTCAAGAATTTACCTACTCTGGATTGTTCCCAGTGTTGGTATTTGTACTTTGTCCAGAATTTCTAGTTGTTATGTCAGGATTTGTCCAGTGGAAGTTTGCTGTGCCGTATTAGAAGCAGAACTGGAAATTTTAGATATGGTTCTCAAACTATCTTCCATATGGTGGAGAATGTCTGAGACTTTTTAATGGTAACAGAATCCACTCATTCTCACACTGTCAGAATTGTACTTATTTATTAATTTATTTAGGGAGATTTTTGCTATAGGACATGTATGCTCACCAGGGAGACAGAGAGAGAAAAAATGAGAAATCACCCCCCCACCAGGGCATATGGCCATTCTGCAATTCCTTCTCCATTCCGTCTTGGGATTGTTGGCATGTACACGCACATGCTGGTATGTTTCAGGAATATCAGATCTGGAACTCGAACTTTGATCAGCTACGTGGGAGTCTAGAGCTTTAACCACTATGCCACCTGCTGGCCATCAGAATTACATTTATTTTACGTTAAGAGTAGAGATGCTTCTTTTAATAAAATTTGAAATGTTTCTGTTTAAATATTTCAGATCTAGAGAAAAGGAGAAATGGAATATTTAGTTCCATGTAGTTGTAATTTTCCAGAGTCATGGTCAATTTGCCTGTGGAAAGTCGGTAGAAAGCTGTAACTTCAGGTGTTATACAGCATTATGCTGTAAAAGTGTGCATTTAAAAGCATATGTTCAGGGGCCAGCAGTTGGCATGGTGGTTAAGGCTTTGGATTCCCACATGGCTGACCATGGTTTGAGTCCTGGACCTGGCCAGCTTGCTTTCTTACTTTCCCTTTCTCTCTTCCTCTTTTTCTGGTCAAATTTAAAAAGAATAATAATAAATAAAATAATTATTTTTAAGTCAGTATATATTCAAATCATCTTCTTGGTTATGTATGATTTTTAAAAATTGATAATGGTAAAATAATTTAAAAATACAAAATGAATACTTTTTTAAAAAAACTTTCTAGAAAACAGCACGTACTCTGGAAACTGAAAACAAAATTCTTCAGGAACAACTGAAAAAAGCTTTACAGGTAAAAAATATCATGTTTCTTTAAAATTGTTAGCAAGTAAAGATTGTGTCCATAAAGAACTTTTTTAATTATATAATCTTGACTTTGTAAACGAATTGGTCTATATATGTGTCTTCAAAAAGTTCATGGAAAATACATATTTTGAAAAAAACTATGCACCAAAATAAATTCTTACTTTAATTCCATTTTTCTAGACTTTTGGAAGCCTTTTTATACTTGTGCAAAGTATCTCCACACTTTTTTCTTGTTTAGGATAAACTTTTTGAAATGTACTTGTTGAATGAAAAGAATATACATCTTTTTGAGACTTTTGCTGTGTATTTCCTTCCAGAAAAGTATCAATTCATACTGATAGAAGTTTGTAAAACATTGCTCATTTTATCACACATGCACAAATTTTAGATATTACTATTCCTTAAATTTTTATCAAAATGGTAGGTAAAAAAATCTGTTCTGCCATTATTATGATTGCTATTATTTAAGTATTTGCCATAGGGCACATGAACTTGCTGGAGAAAATTGAGAAATTATCCTTCAGGGGGATGGCCACACCACAATCCCTTCTCCTCCATTCTCCTTTTGGGATTGTGGGTACACACACACACAAGCCAGGTGTGATTTTCAAGTCACTAGGTCTGGGACTTGAACCATGGTCAGCCATGTAGTAATCCAGTGTCTTAACCACTACACAACCTCGTGTCTTCCTATCTCACAGTTATTTTGAATTGCACTTATTTGACAACTAGTGAGGCTGAATATATTTATATGCATTATTGGTCATGTATGTTGCTGGAAACATGACTTGTCTATTTGTGTCCCTTGTGCTTTATCTATTTTGGGGAGATGCTATTCATATTTCTTATAGGCATGTATAACATATTTTTAATTTTTTAAATATATTTTTAAGTTTTAAAGTTTGCCACAAGGTACATGTGCTTGCTGGAGAGAGACAAAGAAGAAGGGAATGTGAGAAATCCCTCCCCACCTCTTGTCAGGGATGGTCATACTGCTACCCTCCTCATTCTCCTCTTGGAATGTTGGGCATGCATACCACCCACATGTCTGGCATATTGTTCAAGCTACTGAGTTTGGAATTCAAATTGTGCAGTCAGTCATGTGGGATCCAGGTGCCTTCACCACCACCCGAGTGGCTTGCCCTAATATATTTTTTTAATAACAAAAATTTTGAAACAACTTAAATGTCCACTGATAAGGAATTTACTAAATAAGTTGTAGTATATTATTAAATGTACTTCTGTTACTTATTCTGATTTAAATGTGTATTCATTGTCATCGAAACCTATGTATGACTTCACTTAGTGAAAAGAGCGTATAAGTACATAGCATGATCAAATCTAGATAAAAATTTTAAAATATACATATACACTAGGTATACTTGGAAATAATTAGAACACATATCAAAATGTTAATAGTACTTTTTCTCTATGTGATTTTTTTGGTACATTTATATATTCTTTAATGTAAATTACTTGTTTTTTAATAAAAATTATAAAAAGTGACAATTTCAGAAAATTTTTATTCTAGGAAAAATGAATGATTAATTTTGACTTTGTAAATTCTTTGATTTTATGGATATTAGTTATCTTAGTTATAAAATGCCCCTTTTATTAATTTATATTTTTTCTGTATAATAGAGCCTATAAAACAATAAGAGCCAAGAGAAACTCCTGGTTACAGAAATAGCTGTCAAAAGTGGAAAAGGTTTCTTTACACCTAATTTTAACTGTGGAACAGTTAAATAATTGATTATATCAATGGCTCAGCTTAGCTTCCTCCAAACAGTAAAAATAAAAGTTGAGGAGTAATATTGGCATAAATATATACAGATTTCTGAAGAGGGCAGGAAAATGTCACAGAAAACAGTATTGATAAACTGGTCTATTTTTTAAAAACAGGAAGCTGAAAGAACTAAGCATCAACTTGACGGTTTCCTAAATCAAGGGAAGGAGTTACCTATCAGTGAGGGGAAGACTAAACCGTTAATGGATATTGATATTAGTAAAACAAAAGTTAAAGAAGAGTCCAAAAATAAATCATTGGACAGAGAAACAAGAAGATCATTAGTTTCAGATTCAGGTGGCCAAAAGACAAATAATAGTACCCAAGAACATCCAAAGGTAAGGAAACAACAAAAATTAAAGACATTATGTACAATATGAAATTTATCTTTTATATTAATACTTACTTTATTTTTATATATTATTGTTTGGTTTTTATTATGATTTCTTATACATATATATTGATGTATATCTTTTGTTGGTTATAGTGTAGTTCTTCAATGCATGCATACAGTGTGTATTAATGAATCAAGGATATACACATAGTAATCTTTAATATTGAACATTGCATTATATTGTACACATTTGGTAATGATTTTCTTCTGCCCTTTTTTAAGAGTATATATCAAATTGTCCATATTTTTTAATCTGCTGTGGTACATGATGTCATAACTTTTAAATGCATTTGTTCATTAAAATTTTTTTCTCCCAGCTCCTTCTCCCTCACCATGCAGTTTCAGTTATCTACCATTATTTTCTTTCAAAAGAAAATATGCTTTTGAGACCTTCACTTTCCACCATAGAGTATGGACATTCAGTATATGGTAAGCAGGGACAGATAGTATTTGAATTGCATAGTCTAGCTTATTTCATTTAGTATTGTATCTTATGAGTTTGTTTACTTTGTCTCAAATGACAGGATTTGTTCTTCATGGCTGAGTGGTATTCCACTATGTAAATGTGCCACATTTTCCTAATCCATTTATTAATTTTGGGGCACTTAGGCTCATTCAATGACTTAGCTCCTGTGAATAATGTTGCAGTACACTTGTATGTTCAATATTCTCTTCAACTGAGTGATTTCCTATCTTTTGGGTAGATACGCAAATAAGAGGCACTACTGAGTCACACTGTAGTTTCATTTTTAGATTTTAAGATACCAGCGGGGGCCTAAGGCCTCCTGACCTTTATTTTCAGGTTCTAGGCAAGGTTAATGTTGTGTACTGGTGTTCCATCTGTAGAGGGTGTAGGGTTCCTGGATATGACATCAACTACTTCCTTCAGGGTGATTGCATGAGTTCTCAGAGACAATATAGGGAATGAGATTCTTCTCTAGGGGAGTCAAGTGAAGATGCCAGCTGTAAAAATGTCCTCAGTCTTGATTGTTGTTACCCATAAAAGGAATATAAGTTTTAGTTGAGAAATTGTGACTCAGCGGTGGCTAGTTGTTTAATGAGCCATTTGTGTATAGTCCTTGTAGATATAGGAAGTTATCCACTTCAGTGCTTGACTCTCTCCACAGTCATGCATGCCTCAGTAGGTGGTTGCTCTTTTATATGATGAAGCTTTGGCAGGATCTGCCTGTGTCTGCTGGTGCAGTTTGGGCATTGGTCAGTGAGGAGGGAGCTGCATGTCTGTCCACTTAGTGGGGGATTAGGGAGTGGGACTAGAATTTGTTTATCTGTGGTGGCTGGTGGGAGGTGCCCCGTGCTGTCTGCCATTGCAATTCTGGTGTTGTGTTGGAGCTGTGTGTGTGTGTGTGTGTGTGTACCTGCCTGTGCACAAGGAAGTGAAGTGAGAGCTGCCTACTCTGGCTTGTGAGACAAGAGGTCCCTGGGGCTGGAAAATAGATGGGGTGATGGCCTTGTCACTTACCCCTCTCTTCCATTTGCACTCAGAATTCAGGGATGTTCAGAGAAGCTGCCTGTACATATTATTTCAAAAATTCTCCGTGCCTCGTTTTTGTTTGTTTGAACATTTGCCTTTCACTTACTGGAAATGTCAATTCACTAGTATCTTGAATGCCAAACTATAAATTAAACATGTACTGATATTGAGTGATTATTAAGCCATCCAAGGTTTAAGAACCAGAAGAAAATGAAGTTTTAAAGATTTAAGGATATTTTGCTATAAATTAATAAAGTTAAATATAAGTGAAAATTGTACAGAAAACACTCTTAAAATAATTTATTTTTGTTTCTGTTGTACAATGGATTCAGAAATTCTTTCTTGAATTTTGTCCAGATTTATTAATGATTTTATACCTTATAAGAGAATAACAATAGATGAAAGAGCAGCTGTATTTATGAGAAATGAAAGAGTTCAGTAAATAAACAAAGTTGTCTAGAGTACAATTATACATGTTCTTGTTTTACCAGTGGCTCTTGTCAAGTACCTCAGGTCTTTAGTGGTGTTTTACATATTTTAGTGTTTTCCTTACTGTTTTCAGACTGAGAATACTAGAAATAGCACAGCAAAATGAAAGAAAAAAGATAAAGTAATAAGGAGGGTGAAACTAAACTAGAGACCCAGTCCTTTACATTTTGAGAGGCCAAGACTGTTATAGAGTTCTTCCATCCTTCCTTTCTTCTCTTTCTCCTTCTCCTTTTTGACTTCTTTCTCCTCTTCTTTCTTCTTTTTCTCTTCTTCCTTTTACTTTCTTTTCTTTTTCTTCTTTTAGGCAGGGCCTCCCTCTGTGACAATCCTGCTGCTTGAGATTCTCAAATAGCTGGTACTAAGGTGCTTTACCAGTATGCCATGTATTCTCGTTGGGCCAGGAGTCAAACCCAGAAGAACTTCCATGCATGTTGCTTCAGCCTACAGAGCAGCAGTGCCTTACCAACATGTGCCACTGTAGTTGAATCCTTATTTTCTCTTTCTCTCTCTCTCTCTCTTTTTTTTTTTTTTTTTGTATTATTTGTATAGTGAACTACCTCAACTTCTTCCTGGAGAGATAAATAATGAGAATATTGCTCTGACAAAGAAATATTGTTGAGGGGCCAGCAGATTACACAGTGGTTACATTATTGGACTCCTGCATGGCCAACCATGGTTTAAGTCCTGGACGCAGTGGCTTGAAAGTCATGCTGGGCACATGTGCATGCATGCCCAAGATCCCAGGAAGAGAATGGAGGAGAAAAGATTGCAGCGTGGCCATTCTCCCTGGGGGTGATTTGTCACTTTCCCTCTCATTTGTCCCTATCTCTCCTTTTGTCAACTGCACATGACCAATGTCAAAAACTTCTAAAAAGAAAAAAAAAAGAAAAGAAATACTGTTGAAATAATTAGGTCAGTAATCAGTGGAGTAAGGTACATCAAGTTGAACACAAAAGAAAATATAGAAACGTAGGATCATCTGTCAACCACTTTAAGAGAAAAATGAGGGGACACCAGGTGGCATGGTAGTTAAGGCACTGGAACCCCATATGGCTGACCAAGGTTCAAATTATGGACTTGGCTGCTTGAAAATCACACCAGGTGCATGTATGTGTGTGCCCAAAATCCCAAGAGGAGATTGGAGGAGGAGTGATTGTAGCCTGGCTATCTCCTTCAAAGGGAGTATTTCTCACTTTACCTCTCTCTGTCTCTCTCTGGTGAGTCCATGCACCCTATGACAAAACCTGAGAGGGGTGGGGAAACAAAGAACAAGGGAAGCACAATTTAGAATATGCTAGTTATGCTAGTCATTTTATATCCATACATATTTGCCAGTCATTTACATAATACAAGATGCTCCAAAGCTTAAAAATTGCATGAACTTTGCAACTTCAAAGTTAATAATGTTGAATTAGATATCAAATCCAGGGCTTCTCGGCTCCAAAATTGTGTTTAGAGATATCTTCTTTGTTGGTCAATATGACTACATTTGAACTCTCACTTTATTAATAACTTTTGTGTTTTATATTTCCCAGTATATTTTTTCTGAATCCAAAGTAAAAGTTGTCATATATGACAGGTGAAATATAGAAAAAGTTAGATTAAATGGTAAGATGAACCTGAACAAAAAGAATTAAGTTCATTCCATATGTTGCTTTCACATCGGAAAGTCATTCTAATTTTTACTGGTTATATATATATATATAAAACAATCAAACAAAAGATTAATGCACATATGTCTTCCTGTGTACTCAGCTTAATACTCATTAATTAAACATCTACTAAATGCTAGGTTCTTTGCATAGAGATGTCATTTAATCGGATTGACCTGTTCTGGCAATAGTGAAACAGAAGGCATTCGTGGAGATTTTGATAGAATGAACATTGTATTATACTCACTGTGTCCATGTTCTTAATCTTACAGTAGCTCTTCAATGTGTTGTAATCTTTCTCAACCACTGTATTTATACTATTTTTACAAAAATCACAACAAAGTCACTTGACGTTCATCTGATAGGTACTTCATAGTTTTATCTCACTTGTTTACTTGGAGCACTTTTTTTAAAAGAGATTTTTGCTATAGGGTGTGTGCACTTCCTGGAGAGACAGAGAAAGACAGAAATGAGAAATCACCCCTCAGAGGGAGATTTTGCGTATGTGTGTGTGCCCAGTGTGAGTTTCAAGTCACTGGGTTTGGGATGTATACCATGGTCAGCCATGTGGGAGTCCATTAACATAACCATTATGCCATCTGCTGGTCCCTCTCTTAGAGCATTTGATAATATTTGACCATGCATTCACTTTTTAAAAATATAGTCTATAGTTTGTTTTACTTTATTTAAAAAAAAAAATCTGCTAAAAGATGTATACACTCACGAGGGAGAGACAGAGAGAGATGAAGAGGGTGAAATCACTTCCCTACAATAGGACGTGGTCATGCCACAATTCTTTTTTCTTCTTTTCTTCATCCTGCCGGAATTTGGGGCATATATGAATACACACTGGGAGTGTTTTTCAGACCACTGGCATGTGGACTCAAACTGCACTTGACTATGTGGTATCTGACTTCTCTTAATCTCTAGATTACAGAGCTAGTACTATAGTTTGTTTTAGGGACAGCATAATTAGCTGATTTTTCTTCTTTCTTGATTGAGTGATTGTACTCCTTTGGCTTCCTCCTGTTCTTCCATCCTTTCACTGTTGGTACTTCTCTGGGTTTTGTCCTGGCTTTTCATTTTGTTCCACATATTCTTTCTGAGTATGCTTATATAACTTCATCGCTTCTGTGCCACATAAATAGCTCATCTCTTACCCAGATGTTGCCTAGTTTTCAGACCTGTTATCCATCAACACGCTGAATTTGTCTACTTAAATTGGCTATGAACACCTAGAATGTGTTGTGTCCCTGGGTGTATTATTTGCTTTCTTCTCAGACTTGCTCCATCTCCCATTATTCACAATTT